ATCACGAGCCATTCCCAGAGCATCCCGCTCGGCGTACTAACAGCCGTGAGAGGAACATCCTTCTCTCGCATTAGAATCTGGTAGAAGCCATCCGTCAAGTCGATCGCACTGTAGATCTCACTGCCCGCCATGAAGTCCAGGACCATATCCTTACGGGGAATAGGCGTCTGCGCAGGAATCGTGAGGTCATTCAGCTTGTTGAAGGCGTGGACGATGCGCCAGCCGCCAGTCGCCTTCTTGACACAGAAGGTGGGACTCGAGTGCGGCGAGATGCTCTCACGGACGTGACCAGCTTGGCGACGGCTCTCGAAGAACTCGTCGATCGCCTTGACTTGATCTCGCGGCAGCGGCCATTGCCGCGTCACGCAGTGCTTGGTTCCAGACGCGAGGTCGATCTCGTGGTGCACCCCGAGGTCTGCAGGAAGCTCCGCGGGGATCTTGTCCGGAAATACATCCGCATATTCGCGTACGAGTTTATAGGCAGGATTACCAGACCACCAACTGGTTCTTCGGCGGGAACACACGCTCAACCATTGTCTCATGCTGCGGTGGGAACCCATGCTCGACCACCGACGCTGTCGTCGACGGGAACCCATGCTCAACCGTCGACTTAATATCCTCGCGCCACTGCGAGGAGTTCTCAACTCTTTTACCATCCAGAAGCACGGCACAGGTCGTACAGAGAGGGCCATCGCTCGCTCTATGTACTGCTCTCGTCGTGGAAGATTGATCCACGACAGTGACGTGCGGCCAGTCCGTTGGGGAAACCAGGAGATGTGTAAACACCTCGCTGACATCGTAGTCGCGTCGACGGTTGACGGACCGTGCAAGCCAGTCGATCTCAGGACGATAACGGGCTAACCATGGTATGCCAAGAATGCAGTCGAACGCGTAATTCATCTCGATTACCAAGAAGGTGTCTCTACTGGAGAAGCCATCAAATCTGTATGGCAGGGTAATCTCGCGCCACGCGGTGCGGCTTTCCATCAGCGATTTTCACGACAATCTCGCTGTCTCCCTGATGGACGTGGACGTCCGACGGCAACACCGACAAGCACGACGCACGAGAGAAGTTATTCGTCACTCCAGAGTCAAGGAGCGCGTGCAGTGGTCGCCGGGCGCCGGCGACATGGAGACTGACAGTGATCAGTCGCGAGTCGCCATTCGCGGTGGTGGCATTACAACGTGCATGTAGCACAGGAGGGCTAGAAGGTTCGGGTGCCACCGGTGGACCCGGGCCTCTATTCCAGCCAGTAGGGCGCCCCACACCTACTGGCCCAGGATGTTTTTTGACTGGGCGGCCTGGCTTGGACAATCGACTTCGTCGACTGTGGCGTTCACAGCTACGGGAGCAGGCGCACGGCAGACCGCCGCGCGATGACCCTGCTTCCTGCAGCGGAAGCACGTCAACGGACGCGACTACCTACCTCCGCGGTTGGCGGAGGAGCTGGACGACTGACGATCGGCAGACGCTTGGATAGCGTCTATCTCCATGGGTTCAGGTGCACTCTTCAATTCCTTCGTCGACATGACTCGGGCGTAAGACGA